ATTATTTATAGTCTCTATGTTCTTTTTTTTTTAAGTCAACTTCAGATACAAGTAAAAAAAACTATTATGTTGAAAAACCAAAAACTTAGAAATTTATATATATTTATATAAAATAAAATTATTTACAAATAGTTGTACTATTTATAAATTATGAAAATCACAACTATTTCTGTTTGCCCAGAGGAAAAAAAAATTTATTACTAATGAATAAAAACTACAAAAGGAAAACCAGAAAGAGAAACACCAATGTTACGTTGCAAAAGTTGCAACTGCCACGGTGCCCGTAAGTCACCGTTAACAAACTGCTGAATAATGCATGGGCTGAGCTACATGTGTGGGCCCCCAACCCAACACAAACAAAAAAAAAAAAAGTAATAAAAACGTGGGAAAAATGATATACATGGACCTAGTATGGATTTTTCATATTTTGCAGTTTGTGCATTCTCTTTTTTTATATTCTACATTTTTATTTTATATTTAAACTTTAAACTTATTTCAATCTTACTTTTTAGTTCATATCTAAAATTTAATTTTTTGACTCAAAGCTTAGTGAATATTAATAATTTCACTATACCTAAATCTAATATTATTTATTAATTCTTTAAAAAATAAAAACAATTATTTTAACTAAGCTAGACTTGTGTTATCTTTATTCCAATGCCAGTCAGGGACCAGTAAAAAAAGATAATAAAAAATAAAAATTTAATATTCAACAATAAATTTATTGAATGCATTTCACTGGCTTATGTGTTATCAAGATTGAATTAAAATAAAAAATAAAAAAAAAGAAGTAAAGATAAATAGTGAGTTTAAAAGAGATAAAAAGTTTTTCAAGATCAAGGGACCTGAACCTGACTGTTGCAGCAAAAGAGCAATCATTATCCATAGAGAGAGATTTAAATGTGAAAATCTTTTTGAAAAGATTTATTATTACGGAAAATCCTCCAAACATTCTTAGCCAGCAGCATTGGATTATATTAAAAGCCTCAATGTTTTTGACATTTAATCTAATTATGGTGAATCTTATTATGGTGCTCAATGACCCCCAGAAAAGACCAGCAAACTTCATATTTATTTTTTTTAATACATGGCTATGAAAAATTGTATATAAAGACTAACATTTAGTCATGTTTAATGTTAAGAGGCTTCTATAATCTTTCGGGGATTCATCGAAGATCGCAATATCAAAGTTGTTATGTATTACTTGTGAGTCAAGAGATCAATGTATCTATTTTTTTTTCTATAAACATAATTAAAGGTGACCACCTAATCCTTAATAGTAAGATCTATGATTTTCCTGAAAATGTTAGATAAGTGACTCCCAAGGTAGTTGTTACTAATAAGAGACAATGTCTCCATCGAGTCAGAGTGGACATTAATTTTGAATAATTTCATAAGTTCTACTGCTATGCTAGGATGATAGCAAAGAAATTTGAAAATTCTTTAATCCAATCTCCCTTATCATTTCTGATGATGCCTTTACAAGTGACAGCACCATTGATGTTGACAGAGCCGTCTGCATCTAGTCTAACCCATTTAAGTTTAGGTGGATTCCATTTGACATCATATGTAGAATCTCTTTTATTCAATTGCTTGAATTTTCATTATAAACATACTCTGGAAAACTGTCTCAAAGACAAGGGCAGACCAAAAAAGAAGATAGAGTACTATGAAAAAGAGTCAAGCGGCCAGCTTGAGATAACATACCCATGAATTACCATGCCCATTAATATAAGCACCTAGATCATTATTTGTAAATTAAATCGACCTTGCCAGGTTGACCCTCTTAAATCGGGAACTAATCATTTCGCTGGTTTGGTTGATTGAGAAAATCGATCACTTATGACTTGACTTCAATCCGGCCAAATCCTGTGGGTTAATAGGTTAATCGGTGAACTAATCATCTAGCCGGTTTAGTTGATAGAGAAAATCGATCACTTATGACTTGACTTCAATCCGGCCAAATTCGGTGGGTTAATGGGTTGACTTAGGTTAGATTTTAGTATTTTTATTTTTCTTCATTTTTCCTTTCTTCTTCTATATTGAACTCTAAATTAAATATAAATTTCTTAATTAATAATTTTAATGCTATTGTGCTTTATTATTGTCAAAAACCTATAATTATATTTTTATAAGACATGTATAAGATTTTATGAATAAATTTTTTGTTTATTCAAAAATTAAAAATTTTTATTTTAAATATTATAGTTTTTTATATGAATATTTTTATATATTTAATTCAATTATATTATTTTACTTGTAATCGGTTTGATTCTGAATTGACTTTTAGACCACTAACTTTTGAATCATTTACCTCAAGTGATTCAATAATCAATTCTATGTTCAACACCTTGACTAGATACTTTCCCAGACAAGATTTGAATTTAACGTTCATTAAATGGGAAAATGACATTTCAAAACATGATGGGCAGAGGGACAGGACACAACATTAGATTCATTAAAATTTATTTGTTGTCCAGAGATGGTACTATATCGATGGAGCAGAGCTTTCATAATATAACAGTCCTGTTCCGTGGCTCGACAAAAAAGGATAGTGTCATCGGCATACACTAAATGATTAATTGAGACATTATTTTTGGAAATAGCAATCCCTTGCCACCACCCAAACCTTTCAGATTGATGAATGCTCTGGTATTGTTTATAAATTATTTTTAATATATTTTATTAAAATTAAAAAAAATTAAATTTTATTAATTTTTTAAATTTAGTATGTTTTCACTTTTATTCTTAATAAATATTCTTAAATTTTATTATTAGTATTTTTATTTAAAAAATTTAATAAGAGCAAGAATATAAAGATGAGTATTATATTAAAAATTGGCAAGTGTTGTATAAATAAAACTAATTTTTTTTTCCTCTACTCTATAAATAGGATTAGAAGAATTGTAAGTTGAAACATAAAATAAATAATTAAATAAGGAGAAGGAGTTCTCCTGGCAATATAACCTGGTAAGAAACAATACTAATACATTATATATCAATTGAACCCATCGACCAGGAAAATTCATTTTTTTGCCAAGATCTTTTTTAGAAACGGCCACGAAACTGTCATAAGCCTTTACAATTCCAACTTGATAGCACACCAACCAATCTTATATTGTGAATTTTAGTCATGCATTCAACGACCAAACAAATATTATCGGAAATCAAGTGGCCCCTTTAAAAAAGCATTCTGGTATTAGGAGTAATGTAATTGTCCAAAATTAATTTGAGAGGATTATGTTGCACAAAACTTTCGAAAATAATTTAAAAAGGACGAATTGCAAAGATTTATAAATCAAAATCTTTAAAAGAAGAAGGATGATCACATTTGGGAATCAAAGTGATAAATGTGCAATTGATCAATTCCTTCAAAATGAGACCACTTGTTAATCATTTTGATGATATCATACCTTGAAAGATGCCAATAATGGTGGAAAAATTAGCATGATAACCATCAGGACCTGGTGCACTATCCGCTATAATCTGAAACATAGCTTCCCTCAATTTCTCTATCCGCAATGGGATTTAAAAGCATATGTTGATTGATGATTGTCCAAGAGAGTGGGCAAGTTAATGTGCCTAAGAGTGTCTTTCATTTTATCAAGGTCAATATCATCATTATATTAAAGGTTAACGAACACATTGAACCTTAAACTATTACTCAAAAAGCATCCTAAACTCTAGACTTTTAAAATGAGTAAACTAGCCTGTCACGTGTTAAGAGAAGATTAATGTCACGTCAGTCTTTGTTGAGTCCTACAAAGTCAAAAGTAACTGTGGTTATATGTAAATTATAATAGCAGGGGTGATTTGTATCTAATTAATAGTACAGGGCTCAGGATTCTCATTTTAAAAGTTGAAGGTTTAGAATGTTATTTGAATAATATTATTAGGGTCCGAGATGTGCATTAACCCTTATATTAAAGTCAAAATCCTTCTGAAAATCATCTTATTTCTGAATCCAACAACTATGACTGTCCTTGAATTTGTAATATTCTGCCATTGACTCTCCAGTGATTAAAAGATGTATCTCGGTCACCTTATACTTGCCATTGGAGTCGAGACTTTTGAGTCCACATGCTTAATTTCCTCACAATAATACCTTGTGTTATTCATTTATATTTGTAAATATAAACGACGAGAGAACAAAACAAATGGAGAATCCAAATCCATATTTTAGACCTTTCATAATATAAGAATATAATCTGAAATATTAGCCAGCAAAAAGAGGCAATTTAAATAATTTGACGAAGACTACATATTTAATTTTTCTTTCGGAGAACATTTTGAATAAAGATAGAGATTAGGATATATATATTTTTAATTTAATTAAACTTAAAATATTTTCTAATAAGGGTCTTTATTTGAATTAATAATTACACGGTTAAATATTTAAATAATCTTCGTATGTAATCTTCGACCTCTAATACACCCTAACTAATTTACCTGCAAAAACTCGGTGCCTACACACACACACACGCACACACACACACTATCGCTTACTTGGTTTGTTTAAAGAACGATCACTTTTATAACATTCTCTGCCATTATTTCTACCTTCAACAATCCATCGATATCATTCATATTTTCCAGAAAGCTTCACACTCCATAGTCCATATCATCTCCTTCATTCATCATCAGTATCAGTCTATTCTGTCCATTGTACGCTTCTACCGCACAACAACAATAATTAAACTCATTCTCGGCATATTCTTCAGGTAAAGTTCTATATTCTTCTTGGTACTTCCTTTCATTTCTGGGCATCAAATCTCTCCCTTTCTCTCTCTCTCTCTCTCTCTCTGTCTCATACATCGGTTTGTTCAGAGCGTGTTTGCATTTCTTAATAGGAACTTATCTCATATATAATCTTTGCATTTCTTGATGTAAGGCTTTATTTTCTTTTTAGTTTGTATCATTTCTTGGTGTAACGTAACTCACCACAAGATATTTCATTTTTGCGTCTGTGAAGGGATTTTCTCAATTCATTTAAAGAAAATATGTCGACGAGTCTTGAAAGAAGTGATGACAGTGTTCAAATAGTAGATGTTTGGAAAGAGAACATAAAACAAGAGTTCGACTTCATTATTGATGCGATAAAGATATATCCATATGTATCCTTGGACACAAAATTCTCAGGTTCGCTCTTCACAGTAAGAAACTATGGAGCATTGACTGGAAACCTGGGACTGGCCAAACTGATTCAAGTGGGTCTCACGTTGTCCAACGAAAACGGTCAATGTCCCATGATCAATGGTCAACGCGTCTGCTGGCAATTCAAATTCTGTGAGTTCATTCCAAAAAGGGATCCAAAATCCAGAGACATGATCGATGCCCTGAGAGACAGTGGCATGGATTTGGAGAAGAACCAGAAAGATGGCGTGACATACAGCGATTTTGCAGAGCTTCTGATGTCGTCTGGGCTTGTAATGAGGGACGAGGTTTCATGGATTACGTTTCAAGGTTCGTCCCATTTCGGGTACTTGGTGAAGCTGCTGACTGCAGCTGGGAAGAAGAATCTTCCAGAAACAGAACAAGAGTTCATGGAGATTCTCAATTTTTGTTTCCCAGTTTTTTATGATGTCAAGCACCTGATAAGATCATCCACCAACGTAAATCTGCATCAACATGGTGGTGGTGAACTGGAAGATGTTGCCAGGTTTCTGGAGGTGGAGGAGAGAGTTGGACCGGCGGCGGCAGGGGACCAAGCTGGGTCAGATAGTTTGCTTACGAGTATTGTGTTCAATAAACTGAAACATGATCCTCAGTACTTCAATGGAGCTATACCAGAGACATGTCGTGGTTTTTTGCCTGGCTTGGCCGGCATTCAACTTTAGCCCAATGTAACTGAAGGAGACAAGTATAGTTTTGAATTAGCCTCAGATTCGTAATTGCGGAGTTTTGTCTGGGTGGGTCAGTTTCATATTCGTAATTGTGAAATGAACTGCAGTGACTTGGGATAGTTATGCAGAAAAATTTCTTCTTCTGTTCTTGGGTTGGAGAAATTATAACTGGCTAAATCCCAAGTTGAAGAATTAATGAAGAGAAGACAAAGACTAATCTTTGTTTTGTCCACCCTATCTTTTCACTCAATATTTTACATATGGCGTGCTCTTCCGGTCCAAAATATAAAGGAGAATAACATATAAACAGCTTTTAATAATAAACCGTATATTAATAAAATTATTATTCTTATAAAAATATATATTATTTTTTCTTTTTATCTTTTGTTTCAATTTATGATGAATAAGAGAAATGTAATAAATTTACAGACAGTAGAATAAAATAATTTTTTTTATTTTTAAAATATTAAATTACTTATGTTTTGAATTAAGATTAAATGGACAAAATGCTAATGAGCATATTGTTGTTTGCTTAAACTTTTGGTGTCGATCGAGTTCATTCGCTGTGAGCAGCTAACCTTCATTTTTTCCCCACTTTCTATTGTAAGATTTTTTTTTTTTTTTAGCCAAAGAAAATTCGATAGGTATCATGTGATCAAACTACAGTAATATAAGCAGGGGAAACAAAATATAACCAACAAAATGGATATATTTTTTTTATCTCGATATGTAATCGATAGATAAACAATAGTAGATGATAGATATCAAAAACATATCCCTTCTAATTTAAAATTGAATATTTGCTCAATTATTCGAATATTTCAACAGAGTTTTTCTAAAAATTTAAGTTTCTATTCTTAAAAATTTTTTTATTTAAGAAAAATATTGGAATAAAAATCTCACACATATTTTTGAAAATGTTTCATATTTCTTTAAAAATCTTCAATCTATAATTCAAGAAAATTTTAAATTGTAAGTTATGACTACATGTTTGTTAATATAAAATGGTTAAGATACTTATCATAAGAAAAGTAGTTAAGATTATTTTTTTGGGCCAAAGGAATTTCATCTAACAGAGCTAAGTGTCACGGGCTGAAAGTTTGGCGCAGCACACGGCGCCCGTGTGGCGTCCCGAGGACCCCATAATCCCCGAGACAAGCCTTACCACATACGGATCACACTGGTTTTACCCTGCCATGGGCTCATCAGGGAGGCGGCACTAGCCCCCGACCAATTGTGCACTTAGCCCGAAGACTAAGGCAGAACGCATCCAATGCCAATGTCGCCCCCTTTACCCATATTGTGCGAGGCTAACTAGTGGATCATTCATTATTTTGGTCTTTACACGGTCACGAAGATATCATTCGTGACATTCTTCCACACCCAATCTAGCACGCCCTCATACTAGGGGAGAAAGACTCTGCCCAAAGATTGCACGTACAGTACTGCCACAAACACATCAGCTTACTGCTGAATGGCCACCCGAGTCCTGCACTCTTCGGACCCACCCGCACCAGCGAGCCAACAGGAGTGGAGTCGATCACGGCCAACTTTCCCGCCCGAGTCCCTATTTTTAGACCCACCTACACCTCGCAGGCCTTTGGAGTGGTGCCGAGATCAACTAGTCCCAACGTGGGACTCTACAGGCACACGACAGTAAAGTACGTCCTGCTCTGATACCACTCTGTCACAGGCTGAGAGTCTGGCGCAGCATATGGCTGTCACGAATGATATCTTCGTGATCGTGTATAGACCAAGATAATAAACGATCCGCTGGTTAGCCTCACACAATATGGGTAAAGGGGGTGACATTGGCATTGAGTGCGTTCTGCCTCAGTCTTTGGGCTGAGTGCACAACTGGTCGGGGGCTAGTGCCACCTCCCTGATGAGCCCATGGCAAGGCGAAACCAGTGTGATTCGTATGTGGTAAGGCTTATCCTGAGGATTATGGGGTCCACGGGACGCCGCACAGGCGCCGTGTGCTGCACCAGACTCTCAGCCCGTGACAGAGTGGTATCAGAGCAGGACGTACTTTACTATCGTGTGCTTGTGGAGTCCCACATTGGGACTAGTTGATCTCGGCACTGCTTTAAAGGCCTGCGAGGTGTAGGTGGGTCCAAAAATAGGGACTCGGGTGGGAAGGTTGGCCGTGGTCGACTCCACTCCTGTTGGCTCATGGGTGCGGGTGGGTCCGAAGAGTGCAGGACTCGGGTGGCCATTCAGCAGTAAGCTGATGTGTTTGTGGCAGTACTGTATGTGCGATCTTTGGCAGAGTCTTTCTCCTCTAGCACAAGGGCGTGCTAGATTGGGTGTGGGAGAATGTCATGAATGATATCTTCGTGTAAAGATCAAGATAATAAATGATCCATTGGTTAGCTTCACACAATATGAGTAAAGGAGGTGACATTGTCATTAGGTGCGTTCTGCCTTAGTCTTCGGGCTAAGTGCACAACTGGTCGGGGGCTAGTGCCGCCTCCCTGATGAGCCCATGGCAGGGCGAAATCAGTGTGATCTGTATGTGGTAAGGCTTGTCTCGGGGATTATGGGGTCCTCGAGATACCGCACGGGCACCGTGTATTGCGCCAGACTCTCAGCCCGTGACAGAGTGGTATCAGAGCGGGACGTACTTTACTGTCGTGTGCCTATGGAGTCCCACATTGGGACTAGTTGACCTCGGCACCGCTCCAGTAGGCCTGCGAGGTGCAGGTGGGTCCAAAAGTGGGGACTCGGGTGGGAAGGTTGGCCATGGTCGACTCTACTCCTGTTGGCTCGTGGGTGCGAGTGGGTCCGAAGAATGCAGGACTCAGGTGGCCATTCAGTGGTAAGCTGATGTATGTGTGGCAGTACTGTATGTGCGATCCTTAGGCGGAGTCTTTCTCCCCTAGCACGAGGGTGTGCTAGATTGGGTGTGGGAGAATGTCACGGATGATATCTCTGTGACCGTGTAAAGACCAAGATAATGAACAATCTGCTGGTTAGCCTCACACAATATGGGTAAAGGGGGCGACATTGGCATTGGGTGCGTTCTGCCTCAGTCTTTGGGCTGAGTGCACAACTGGTCGGGGGCTAGTACCGCCTCCTTGATGAGCCCATGGCAGGGCAAAACCAGTGTGATCCGTATGTGGTAAGGCTTGTCTCGAGGATTATGGGGTCCTAGGGACGCTGCACGGGCACCGTGTGCTGCGCCAAACTCTCAGCCCGTGACATAAGGCTAAAAATAAAAAAAGAAACCAAAGCCAAAGTCAGGAATACAAACGCAAATAAATACATGAAAAGGAAACAACACTATGAAAACAACAGAAAGACGGCAATTAAAGATCCACATTAGCCTACGCCCGTTCATTCAACACCCTTAGGAGGTCTTTGACCAGCAACATCACTAGAGTCTTTGAACAAGATACAAGCTAGAGGATTCCATTTCCCTTGAAGCTATTCCTGCTAGATAATTAGCAGCACAATTCTCATCACGATGAATGAGAGAAAAAGAGATACTATTCAAAGAGTCCAGCATGTTCCACATGTCAAGAACCAAGGAATGATACATCTAAGGACACTTAAGAAGATTTCTGCTAAAGCAGACCTTGTAAGCTTCAGCGCAATCTATTTCAATAATGTTGCCCATACCAGTCTACGTACAAGTCAGCTTTAAGGCCTTTTTCACCCCTTGTAACTCTTTCCGCAAGGCTGAATCCGCATTAATATTTTCTTTCCAACCCGCGATGAACCTGTCCCGTGAGTCCCAAGAGCTACAATACCTACTCCATGTAAAGCGCCATCACAATTTAGTTTAATAACTCCCTGGGGAGGTCGTACCCAACATCAGGATTCTGTTGCATGGTCATACTCTTGTCCCTTACAGAAAGCGCCATTACAATTTAGTTTAATAGATGCCTGGGGAGGTCGTACCCAGCATCGGGATTCTGCTGCATGGTGGACTGGTGTCTGTGGAGTTAATAGACCACGAGCTTGCCAAAATTCATTTAAACCAATGTTTGTAGTTACAATTAGGCCGCCAGGGTCAGGTTGGTCATCATCAAATATCATCCGGCATCGAAATTTCCAAATCTGCCAATAGAAAAGAGCCACATTTGCTTTGCCATACTCGTTCAGGGGAGATTTTACGCACATTATATTATACATACAGTCCCTTATATTCCTGATCAATAGGGGGCCAAGAAGAAATCATTAGTAGCTAGGGCAGGATTAAGGAGGCGCCATATAAAATGACGTACCTTTGGGGTACTTATAAATCATATTTTTTATATATTTTTATTCTCTTCACTAGGTCTTTTTATTGATGAATCATGACTAAATGAGATTAATTAAAATATATTTTATTTTATTGGTCACCTCATATTTTGTGGGAATTAATGGATTAAATCTTGAAAATTATGATTGGATTCTTCATTTAATATTTTTGCACATGTGGCCATTGAATATTATTTAATTTTGTGCAGACTTTTGGAGCTAATTAAATTGAATATCATTAATGGAAATTTGTTGGGCTTGAAGTAGACTCAATTTTATTATCTCAAAATGTATTTTTTCTTGGGTAAATTTATATAAATAGTAATTAGGGTTATTAAGGGTGTTTTTATCTTTTTAATTAAAAATTAGATTTTGGTTAATGGGAAACACATGCCTGCCGCCTCAGTAGAGTTAAGAGGGAAGAGAAAGAACGAAGAGGGAGGGAGTGGAGAAAAGGATTAACAACGATGAGGAAGCAGAGGAAAGAGAAAAGAAATGAGGTCCGTTGATTCAGCACCGATGGGAGCTTCTTCTACCTCCTAATCTTCGTCTCTTCTATAGCGTCCCTTTACCATTCTCTTTTTCCTTCCATGGGTCTTTGATTTTTTGGTATGTAATCAACTTTGAACCTTGAATTGATGAAGACTTGGGATTTGAGCTTAATGGAGCAGCTGTATTGAGCATTAAATTTGGTTCTATCTCTTCTATTTTTTTGATTTTGTGCTTTCTTGATTATACCGATTGGATTATTAAGAATGCATGGAATTAGGGTTAGATTGATTAATGTAATATAATTATTAGCCACTGTAGTTGATAAATTGCTTGGCTATGAGATAGGTTTGATGTCCTAGAATGGGCATTCTACTCACTGTCTTGTGAATTATGTTCATTTAAACTGCTGGAAATTGCTTGGCAGTTGAGATTTTAATTGCTAATCATATTTCTAGTAACTAAGGCCCTGAGAGATCTCTTAGGCATATTTTTCCGTCATGATTCACTTGAAAGCATGCTCTATCTAGGTTGTTATTTATTGTGCATTAGCTGAAATTTTCATCAAGGATAAGGAAGGATGTTGATTATATGCTGCTTTAGTTATTAGTTAGTAATTTAATTTTTTGCATTTTAGTTTTAGTTAAAAAAAACCACTCTAATTCATAAGCTTTGTTGATCGAATTTACTAAGATTAATTGGCTAACTCAGTAGCTTTTAGAAAGATGACCTAGGTTGCATTTTACTACAAAATTTGGTTTTATATTTTTATTTTGATTCCATTTGACAGTGGGACCAGGTACATTGAGGCTCCAGATGACATTCCAAACCTTGTTATCTGTAAAAACCGAAAGCCCTCCTGAGTCTTTATGCGCTTGAATTCCCTTCGATAACCCTGCCTAGTGTTATATACACCAATTTTTACTAGTGGTCAAATAATCCTATTCGGTCTACGCGTAGTAGATAGTAGAATAGTTTTGATGAGCTTAAGGACATCCCCATCAACAACTTCCTGAATAGGCAAAAGATTCCATTTCCTGTTCGGTTTTAATTTATAATCTGGGGAGGCAGCGAACCAAGGATCCTTCCAAACCTAAATATAATTACCATTGCCTGCCTGCCAGTAGAGATCCTTTTCGAGCAACTCACAGCCTGCTGATATACTGTCCAAAACCCAAAAGGCTTTGGGTCCTTTCTACTCATTCAAGAATGAGAAATTTAGGAAGTAAATAATCTTGATGAGGTAAATCTAGACATAATTCGGATTGTTTATAATTCGCTACACTATTTCTACCAATAGAGCAACATTAAAACCCATAAAATCCTTGAAACCTAGCCCTCCATCAACCTTTGACTAGCACAGAAAACTACAAGACTTCTAATGGATTCCCCCACCATTAGCATTATTATCTTAGAAAAAATTGAGAATTTGAATACTGTCATAGGAAATACTAGGATGGCATTGATCACTGCCTTAATCATTCACTTCCCTCCCAGCAAAAGATAACATTTTCTTTTTCCAATTCAAGAACTTCTTCCCCATTTTATCCCTCACATATGCCAAGGCTGCATTTCTTTTTATCCTCCCTAGAGTACTGAAAGTCCTAAATAAATCCCGGGATTTTCCACTCCCTTGATCTGCAAAGCATCTACTACCTCCTCCCGTACCATATTCTTGGTGTTAGTTGAGAAGAAGACATTTGATTTCTGAAAATTAAGCTTCTGTCCAAGGTGGCACGATATTGCAATAAAATATTCTTAAAGAGACAGCAGTTGCGGGGGTAGGCGGATTTGAATTAATTCAATAATTGAAATATTAATTAGTTGATTAATTTTATTCCAATCACTTGTAAAATAAATATGAACAAAAAAACCAAAATATAGAAGAAACAAAAAGGTTATTAGTAAATAAATAAAAAATAACAAAGACTAGTCTCAAGGATCATCTCAATCTTTGAATAAACCACAAAAAATTAACAACATTTAACAATAATGTTCCAAGAAATTAACGTCAATAAAGTTCCAAAAATTGTTACAAGGACTACAGACATCCTAAAATGAAATGACTTATAGTAATATACTTTTACAATTCAAAGAGCTACAAAAGATTCTTTTTTTTTTGCATTTTATTGCCTTCAGTATCAGTATTTTTTTACCTATTTTGTAGCTATAATTTATCATGAGCTCGGCTAGGAGAGGTATTTCCTTATATGCAAATAGCATCACATAAGGAAGCCTATAGTCTAAGTGATTGCGTAGAACATATTGGATATATAGATTAGGATCACAACTATAGTTGAAAAACCTACCCAAATTACTGTTCTTAGCTGCATGAAGGGTGAAACCACTACCACGACGATGCTTCTAAAGGCAAATATCAAACAAATATTCATCTTCTCCAAATTTAATTTGGAGCAGCATCATTGTTTTTAAGCAACTCTCCCACATATTCGCATACAAAAATTTCACAAGGGATTTGGATTGTTAGATTGTCCAAATGTGAGTGGACTTAAGCAAATATGAGAAGTCTCACATTGAATAAATATGAGATTAACAACTAATATAAAATAAAGAGGAAGAACTCATAAACTTGAGCCTTGAGGTTTTAAGTTAAGATATGGTGTCCTTTCGCCATATCTTGCTACAAGTAGTATCAAAACTAAGTTTTACTCAGGACTTGAAAGCTCATTATCATGCATATGTTTAAAGTCAAAAAAATAAGATTGGCCTTGGTTGCAACAGGGACTTGTGTGGATCACACTATTTGAAGCCTGAAAAGCTAGGCTAGCCTTGATTGCTAGTGCATGGACTTAGTGTTCCCCATATTTGATATGGGAAGCTTGTGGACTCACATTTGAGGGGGAGATTGTTATGTTATTCAAGTATGAGTAGATTTAAGAAGATACGGGAAGTCTCACATTGAATAAAGCTAAGTTAAGCTTAATAACTAATATAAAATAAAGAGGAATGATCTAAAATATTGAGCCTTAGAGTTTTGAATTAAGATGTGATGTCTTTTCAATAATCTTGTTCATTTCTCCTCTCTCCCTATTCCCAAGCAGTTGCTCTTATTCCTAATAAGTGGTAT